TTCGGAGAGGGTTCAGTACAATCGATCGTATCCACACCCTAACAAGGCTCATTAAAGTATCGCGAGAGTACAAAATGCCGCTATGTCTTACGTTCATCGATTTGAGGAAAGCCTTTGACACTGTCGAGACAGAAGCGGTAATCGAAGCCCTGGGCAACCAGGGTGTTCCTACTCAATATACGAGGATGCTTCGTGAGCTCTACGACAACTTTACGACCAGGATTTCACCATTCTACAAGGAAGTCATTAACAACGTAAAAAGAGGTGTCCGGCAGGGCGATGCCATATCGCCCAAACTTTTCAATGCCGCTCTCCAGAATATCATGCGTCAATTGGAATGGGAAGACTTGGGAGTGAAGGTCGACGGCCGCTATCTACATCACCTCCGCTTTGCAGACGACATCGTTCTCATAACACCGAACATCGAGCAGCGGAACGGAACGGCCGAGTTTGACAATGCTTGTGGAAAAAACTGATTGAGACTGAACTTAACGAAGACGATGTTCATGAAAAACGGACTGGTACCTGATGCTCCTTTCACGTTAAACGGAACGAATATCTCCGAATGCTTTAGCTATGTGTATCTAGGTCGGGAAGTCAACATGATGAACGACCTAGCTCCAGAGCTGTGCAGAAGGAAACGCGCCGCGTGGGGAGCATTTAAGAATATCGAGGGAGTAGTGAAGAAGACGAAGAACATCCGGCTCCGCGCTCACCTTTTCGACACTGCTGTTCTTCCTGTTTTGACGTACGCCTCAGAGACTTGGACTCTACGAAAGCAGGATGAGCATGCTGTCAGCGTTGCTCAACGCGCTTTGGAAAGGACGATGCTCGGAATTTCCCTGTACACGCAAGTGCAGAAGGGAATCCGGAGTTTCGAGCTCCGTCAACGAACGAAGATCAGGGATGCCGTTGACTACGCTAAGAAATCGAAGATCAGGTGGGCCGGACACGTTATGCGATATATTGATGACCGTTGGACCAGGGCGGTTACTGACTGGATCCCTCGGGACATCAAACGAACTCCAGGATGGCCGCCAACGACATGGTCAGACTTCTTCACGAAAGCTCTGAACGAAAGGAATGTTGGTCCTCGCGTCCCTGGAGCGATTCATTGGACCGCTCTGGCTCGTAACAGGGACGAATAGAGACGTTACTGGCGCCCACTCAAGGAAATCGACGATCAACGGGACGACAGCTGACAGGTGATGTTAAAAAAAATTATGTATAACTTTAACGGCACTCTGCATGTCCACACGGCTAAAAGTGGGCCCCCACGTGTCAAAGCCTGACAAGCTACAGTGGTTATTCATATGCCAGAAACAGTAACGAAATGGGCCTCATCTCCCTAAAGCTGAAGGAGCCCTCGATACAGCGGCGTTGGGTAGTCTCAGGGCCACGACAGGCTGCCTAAAAGGAGAAAGACTGAGATGACGATCTGTACTTGCAATGCACGAATGCTTGCATCGGAAGCGTGCATAGAGATTTGACAATGCAGGCCAGAAAAATCAGGTACGACGTCATCGACTGCTGCCCGGAACTGGAAGGCACAGCCCGTTGCATGCCATTTTTGAAATTGAAGAAGAACTTTTCCTCAGAACATGCGACAGCAGAGGAGTCGGCGGTGTAGGTGGTTGTCATCGTCATCACGCACTTGGCTATGAACATCGACTCGTACGAAAACTTGACAACCCGAATCGGACGTTCACGATTGAAAAGATGTAGCTCAGCCCCAGCTCTGACAAACATTGTTTACGCACCAACATCGAGCTACGACGAAGAAGAGTTGGAGGGGTTCTATATGGAGAGACTCCACAGAGAGGGTCATCGTTGGTGTTTTCAACTCTAAGACTGGCCCCAGAAGAACGGCTGAAGAGCTCCATATCGGAACTCACGAAGTGGAATGGAATGGGCAGGATGAAAGGCTGTCCGAGTTTATCATGCCGACCCACACTATTCATGGTAACTAGCAGTTTCAGAAGCCCTCTCATTCCAGACGGACATGGAAGTCACCTGATGGACTATTCCATAAAGAAATAGATCACATCAATTGAAAGTTTTGCCTGACAGACGTCGCTTTTGTTCTGAAGTCCTACACGGGATCAGACCATCATCTCCTCGGCGTAGATTCCGCTTATCAGTGCATGGAGAGAAAGCTGCGAAGTTTAGGAAACGAAGCCGCAAGATTGTTGTCAATTGGGATCATTTCGCTTAATTGTAGAGTTTGTGGGAAGATTCCATCAGCGACAACATCGATGGAGAATACGACCGGCTCGTTGAACATCTTCACGATTTCGTCAGGAAAGCTGAGAGTCTCAAAGATGTGAGGAAACGTCTCTCTCCGAAGACTCTTGAGCTGGTACGCCAGCTTGGAATCGCGCGAGCTGCAGGCAATAAACAGCTAACGTCCGAACTCGCGAAGCTGTGCAGAGAAGCGATAAAGGAAGATCTGAAAGAGAGAAGAGCAACAGTTTGACTGAAGCCGCGGAGAATGGGAAGAACATCCGTAAAGCCCGCCGGAGCTTCGTCATCTACAAGACCAAGATGACTTCCCTTCGTCCTCCTGACGGAACGGTTACTGCATCTCGGAGGGCAGTGGAGATGGTTACCTACGACTTCTACCCTAATTTCTTCGACAACCACTTCTACCTACCTACCATCTTAGGCAAGACGAATACGCCGTCCCTTCAGTTCTCCCTTCCGAAATTCATCGTGCCATCACGTTCATGAGGAATGGTACGGCACCCGGTCCCAACGGGATCAAAGCAGAACATCTCAAAAGCCTTCGGCCAGTCATAGTCAAAACCCTGGCCCGGCTTTTCATGCGGTTCCTGTCAGAACGCAAAGTGCCGACTTCGTGGGAAACTAGCAAGTCTGTGTTGCTGTATAAGAAGGTAGATCCAGACGACATTGAGCAAACAGGGTTTCGGGGAGGGTTCAATCGAACACATCTTCACCGTTACAAGACAGTGAAGTACTGCGGGAGTACAAGATGCGGTTATGTCTTACGTTCATCGATTTGAAGAAAGCCTTCGATACCGTCGAGACAGAAGCGGTATTTGAAGCCCTGGGCAATCAGGGTGGTGTTGGAGAAGGCGATACCGTCTCGCCCTAACTTCTCAGTGCCGCTCTCGAGAACATCATGCTGGCCGAATTCGCCAACGCTTGTGAAAGATCGGATTACACTGAATCCAGCGACGATGTTCATGCGAAACGGATTTCACACTGAACGGAACGGGCCTGGTTCATGTCTACCACCAATACTTTTTTCGTATGCTAATTAAAATTAGAACTTGTACCGCATTCTGCTTCAATTCGAATATATCCACCTTTACCTGAAGGAAATTTTCTACGGTTTTTTGTGATTCTGACAAATCTTTCTGATTGTTGCGGTCGTAGAAATGAACCCTCCTCATAAGTCTATACCGGTATTTCTCTACAGGGCAATGCGACTTTCGTGCTCCAATCGATGTGTCGCGTCGCGCGCGTTCGCAGTAGTTTATTCTTTTGATGACTTTGAATGCTGCGCTGTGGACGTGTGTGAGCGCTTTGTTCTGCAAATAACGTTAGGTGTCTTTTTGTGCGTGAACTCATGAGAATTATTGCCGTTTTAGGTGCCTTCGCATTACTTGATTTCCAAATCTGAGTCCACCTATTGCAGGATTGATATAAAGCTTGTTCGAAAACGATGTTTCGTAACCAATACGACAGCGATGTAACAGTGTGGAGTCCTCAGGTTTGCTCCAGTCTTTTTGTCATTCTATGCTGCACCGGCTTTGTTCTCGTGCTAAGCTAGGGAATCCAAAGCTAAAATTGTGGCGATTATCATAATAAGGCTTATTGTTAGAGCAAGTTGGCCAGCACTCTCCCTTTGTTCTCATTTTCGCGGTTGCCAAATAGCTCTCGTGAGGAGTTCGTTGTGGCGATGTAGGGGTATCCCGGTGGTCGGCTTGTCTGAGTGTTTTATTCTGCGGTAAACCTGTCAAGCAAACGACCAGACACCATCCACAGGAAGCCACCCGTGCGTGCTCCATGAATCTTGATGAAGCGATTACCAATTCTCACAACAAGTGCTGTTGATTAGCCCCTCATCTAAATATATTCTATGCTGCTACTTTAACGTAGCAATAATCAAAGTCAAAATTCGAGTTCGAAATTCGCTGTTGACTCCACAGCCTTAGGTGATACCCTTTTGATAAAACCAAATTGAAGGCTGCGACGCTGTCCTTAGTTTTATTAAAACGATATCACCTAGGCGTGTCGCAAAAGCATGAAAACGAAAGGCAACATATTTCCCCAAATACATCATTGTTTAAGGAAGCTTTTAGGGTCGACTACACCAAGTCGATTATGCTGTGGAAGCCATGAAACAAGGTTCAGCTACTGTTGGAATCAAGAGCGCAACACACGCAGTTTTGGCTGCTTTGAAGGTTTTTTTCATCTTTTGCACATTTATTTTTTGGGTATTTAGCGAGAGTATTGATCTTATCGGACTCCTGACATAAATGCATCTCGAACAAGCATTCGTTTTTCCAGTCATTTTGTGATTGATCAGCATACAAGCAGTTGGGAGGGAGTGAAGGGACGGTGGCGTTTTGTGCTCAACTGTACTTCCACGTATTAGGAAACATTTCTTGGCACCACCACAGACCCGCAAAGCCGGCGAACCCACCGCTCTCACGTCCAGCGCTAGCCACGCAGAACACCGTGGAAAAGCAAATTCCCCAACCGTGGCATGTTTCGCGATATCCACCAAACAAAGAACTCCCTAACCCATGACTAGTTCGAGTAAATCCTGTCGTGTCTTATTTCACAGAATCGTTTTGTTTCACTTTGAGCNGTTGAGAAGTACCAACTTGAACTGAATGACAACTTGAATGATATAGTGAAGAACCATAAATTTCCATACGTGGTGCAGGATCGCTTCAGAATTAGCTGCGTGGTTTGTACTAGGTCCTATAACTCATTTTATAATCTCACCAATTTTTCCTCTATTCGGGCTCCAGAACTAGTTGACCTGAGAACCGATCCAATCTGTCGCAGATGTTGAGCTTATTGCGCGAGGAATCTTCTAAAAAGCGTGTACGGCGTGCGTGGTAACAATGATTGTTGGAGGTTATGAAGCGGTCACACGTTACGTCGTTAGGTGATTAAGTTTGCTTTAGTAGATATTTACAGACTTGAATAATCACAGCGGTTTTAGAATTTCTAAAGGAGAGTGTAACTTTCCACCACGCATTACTGTTCTTTCCTAACCGAATTGGAACGGAACAATAAAACATCTACCCGCTGTTTTTACTTGATTTCTAAATTGAAGGATAGATGATTTTAGATAGATTTTAGACGTTCTCTACAGTTTCTTAGAAGTCTGATATTAATCGGCAGCAATGTATTGTTTTGAATCCATGGTGAACTCGATGAGATCATTTCCAGAAATGCTACTATTCTTGAGTGTTTTTCAGCGCGCTCAAAATGAACTTTGCTCACATCAAAAGAAAATATATGAAATCGATACACATGCAGGCGTTTCAATCGCTGGTCTTCTGTCCGATGGAAGAATCCTCGCAAGGTAATCAAGTTTTCGTTTTTTCTCTAATTGTCCAACTACGCTTCCAACGATTATTCTTGACGACACTTAATCACGCCTTTTACTATTTTTTTATTCTCTGCTTATATTTTTCTAGGCTTCATTTTTTCTGCTTTCTGCTTGACAACCAATCTATTTTATACTCTCGTAGCTAGATCATCTCTCTAGTCGTACCTCCATTTTTGCTATGCTCTGTTAATTATGCGTCCTTCCTCTCATCTATGTTTTTCCGTTTATCGTAATCGTACATTTATGGTTCAAGAGCTTTGCAACATTGATTTGAGTCTCTGTAATCCATAGAAGCTGAAATTCTGGAAAGGTGCCTCGCTTATTGCTTTTAAGAAGCAAGGTCATTCGTGAAAATCACGGTGACTTGATTATTTTATCCATGATACGGTACCCTCTGGGTATCCTAGTGCTGCGATAGTTGCAGTCTATACAAGACGTATAGATATTTCCAAACCCTCACCTAATGGTCCTAAGTCGTCGTAACACTCTTCAAAGCGAGCCACCCTAGACTATTGCCATCGGTTCCTCTATAATAGCTACTGAATCTTCTGAGGCTGATCTGCTCGGACATATTAAGGCATGTGTCCATCTTGTCTTGGGAGCTTCCAGGATTGCAACATCAAACAGCTTGGTATTCCTGCATAAGGATGTAAAGTGTCTGCGCGGAACAAGCTCCAGTTATATCCAATTTAAGTTGTAGTGTCCTGGGAAGGGTGAAAAAAAACATGCCCCACAATTACCAGTACTGAGATCTTATAGAGGTTTGGCCGTAAATGGTAACGTTGAATGAAACTTCAAAGGGTTTCCATTCGATTCGTCGTCGGGTTCCTAGAAGTCTGACCAGTTTATAATGTGCGGCATACCTTTTGATTATTGACCTCCTCGGCTTGCTAATTCTTACGACGGATATATTTGATGGGATTACCGAGAGTTTTTTCTCATTTCTGTCTCAAAGATGCGATTCATTTGTAGTACAAACCAGCATCATTTATTTGCTGGTCAGCTGAAGAGTTTTGCTAAGTGATACACCAGTTACAGGTTGATTTAAGCAACCTAACAACTAAAGTAGGTTAAACGGGTATTAGCAAAGCGTTGTACATTGTGACACATGTTTTCAAAAGCTGTGCTCATATCTCTTCAAAAAAATAACCTGAACGCTTCTTTCGCTTAACTTAAGTAAGGGCTTCTCCAACTGAATAAGCCTCCAGCTGCATCTATTTTCATAAATTAGTCCTACTGTGTGTAACGCGCTAAGTGTCTGTTGNTTTGTCGCTGTATGTGCTTGTATGCATATGTGTGTATGTATGTATGTGTGTCTGTCTGTGTATAGTAGAATGTGGTGCTCAATAAAGCACTTCGTCTGAAAGCTAACACAGGCGACCTGGATCGCACCAGCTTCAGTGTCTTTGAAGAGCCATGATATGCTTAATGAAACTCCAGCTACATCAAAGGGTATGCCGCCGTGTGTAACTAGTTTTGCTGTTGTACAAAAGAGAACCACCAGACCCAACAGAAGCACCAAGCTTTTCAACAACAGATCTGCTTCGTTGTGGAGCAAAAGCAAAGAAGCAGCCAGTCACGGAACAGCCTTCTCCAGATGTGTACGATGTAAGCTAGATAATGCAACATACAAGACGATTCCGAAGCGCGCCATACCGTGAACTCGCGGGATATTGATTTACCCACTACTCTCGAGACACTGGCAGAACTACAATAACCGGACCGAAGAAAATTGATCATCATCAAATATGTAGAACAGCTCCTAATCATACAGCTCGGCCCGCCTCTTACTGCACAAAATTTTCTGCTTTCTCATTTTTATCTGGTTTTTATGTGATCATCTTCCCAACCTCACTCGTAAATATTTTTTACCTTCATCACAGTGAGTTATTTCGTCAACGAGTAGGCGCAGGTAAATCGTGCTATTTCATTGCAGGTTCCTGCAGACAGAGTGCTCTAGCTGGCGATGGGATTACAAGTTGCCTGTCCCCATTTCATCGCTTGCCGACAGCGTCCAGCTTAGTATGTAGCATTTCATTATTCTTGCAAAATGGAGATGCAATTTAGAGTTGTGGTGATGATTCCTCGTATTCAATGTTTTTGAAATAACTCGACCCGTTACCCCTTCGTTTCCTGTTCATATGGTTTCGATTCAGAATTGCAAGCAAACACTCAGTATTATGGTCGTCGACCGTTCGGTGTAGGGCTGTTAATTGCTGGATACGACGTAAGTGTTGAGTTTTTGTTTCTCTCTAATACTCGGAATACCTCACAATCATCGCTCTGCAAAATCTTTACTTAGTTAGGACAATCCATTTGTTCAGAAGGATGGCACTCACATTGTGCAGTCCGACCCATCAGCAGAGGTTGTTGAAATGTTTGCTTCTTCCATTGGTGCAAGGTCGCAATCAGCTCGTACTTACTTGGAAAGAAACCTAGACAAGTTCAGGGAAGGTGAGATTTGCGGGTTTCCATTGGGTTGAGGAATAGGTGATTTTGCTTTTAACAATTCAAAAAATTTTCCAAGTCTTTGATTCTTTCCTGCCATCGATTGCTTTCTTCGAAACTTATCATGTTGCAGCTCCTAACATAGCATTCTGTGGAGTTTTGATTATGTTTGATAATTTCAGCAAACGCTGAAGAACTGATTCGCCATGCTCTTTTAGCCTTAAGGGATACGTTGCCTGCGGAGGAGAACCTAACGAATCAGGTATGGTAATCTATACGGTTTTGTTAGATGACAGAACGGAAGAGCGGGCTTTCTTTTCCACTTCTTCTCACAAGCGTTGCCGAGCACACCGCTTTTCATAACTGCCATCATTTCATTCTTCAATATCTATGACATCTTCTACTGCAATCCACTTTCTCTAACATGTCCGTCCACCCATCCTTTTGAACTTGTACTTACCTTCTGCTGTTTTTTGAGCTCCATTGTTCTTTCGGATGCTCTATTGCCTATTCAACACATGCCCATAGCACTGGGAGGACGATGTATTTTCAGCTGGATTGGAGAGGTTTGCATTGCCGTCTTCGCTCCTGATTCAGTCCTGTCGCTTTTAACAGCGCATTCATCTCCAAATCCCCGCTTCAGGAGAGTGAAGTTGCCTTTCGTGGTTCTTGTCTAGAGGGCAGCACTTGCCGACGTGGGTATCCTAGAGACCACTTTGTCCGTCAACCTTTATCTTGAGCTGCTAGGAGCGTGGTGGGTCGCAGAGCATACAGTGTTGTCCATGGCGCTGTCAACGGCTTAATCACTCGTCAGTAATCGGAAGTTAGGCAGTCTATCATAGCTTTCCCTAGGTGGTCCACCAGTGGCTGTGCACCTTCTTCATATGCTGAAATTTCCTGCAAACTTTCCGTGCGCCTTCCTTACCTCAATTAGTAATCCATCTAGTTCGACAGGCGTCAGCTTTCATATCTTCAAAGCCGATCTATTTAGAGTGAAAGCACACTAGCTTCTCGCGCAGCAATTTTTCTCTGACGTGCTCATCCAAGTATCCTTACCTGATCTTGGCTTGTTTAGGATGGTACCTTCGGCTTTTTCGGAAGCTTCACCTCACCGGTGCCAGGAACTTAACCTTGGCCAGCCTAACAACGATTTTTTCCACTTTCGAGTATAGTTTCTCGCGCAACACGTGTTAGTCGTCTTGACAGGCTTCTTGCACCTTTTGACCTCATCATCCTTAAACAACACTTCCTTGTCTGAATCTACTTCATGGCTCACCTACTGATTTTTTTCATATCCGAAGTCCCCTGCGTAGTTCCGAGTTTGCTTGATCTCTTCTTGAAGGTCTGAAACTCATGGAGCTTCGTCTGAGATTCCTTCCCGCTCGATGTTGCTTCCCACACTAAATTCTACTCCCATTTTCATTTCTCATTTTAGGCAAATCACAAGCCACGTGCTGGCGCAGACTTATGCTGCGAAAACAATTCTAACTTATTTAATTTTGCAGAATACATCAATTGCTATTGTCGGTAAGGATCAGCCATTCAAAATCATGGATGACTCGGAGGTTGCTCCCCATCTAGCTAGGATCAGCAGCACGCCTCGTACAACAGCTCAGTCTGAGGTGAAAATATTAACATTAACATGTTGTGCAAGCTTATTATTTATCATTTATGCGCTTTAAAATGAGTTGATAAAAACAACTAGGGAAACAAACGAACAAACAACTTCAAACATGAACTAGATAAAAACAAAAGCAGCGCTTTAGAGAAACGGCTTCACTACGAACAACTAATCAGCGGAAAAATGATTCAAGGTGCAAACACACTGCATTAAATAAGTGGAACATTCTTCGTTGAGAAAATTGGAGCAGAAATCCTACGAGAAGAAAAGTTCCAGGTCCAGTAAGAGCATCTGCTCGAGGGCAAATATTTAACACCAGTCGGTAATGGCCCTTTATTGCCACATTCATTGGCACTCAGAACTCAGACGCGCGAGCCTCGTGGGACCGATAAACGAGGCAAAATCCAAACTAGCTATAAGTCGCGCCATGCCAGAAGAAACAGAGGTCCGCTCTACTCAGTAGTGGGAATACAAGGCTTCGACAAGCAGTCGACGAGTTCTAATGTAATTGCCTAGTGTCCTAGATATTGTTCAGAGGAGCTCCATTTTTGGATTAAATGGCTGAGATTCTTGTTGTTAATTCTTTCAGTACTAATTTGACGTTTTTTTGTCTTTTCAACTTTTGATGTTGTTTCAGGCGCCTGCGGCAGAACAGATGCAGCAATAGTGGCAGCATTACGAATTAACTTGAACGTCCTTTGTATGGGTCTATATCAACGTTTAAACTAAATTTTATGAATTGTTAATTAAATTGTTTAATAAACGGTCAACTTGTAGTATCATTGATGTCGTATTTTACCAGTGGCGGCGCAACCAACGCTCTATCTTTGATAATCGGTGTTCGTTAAGGCGATGGGATTAAAAGAAAAGTGTTGATTGGTGAACTCTGGTTTTTACGCGTACTTTACTCTTAGAAATCATACCACATGCACGCTAATACCAAAAAGGAAAACAATGTGAACAATGGACTTGTAGCGGTGGTATCACGCGACAGTGGGGCTCCCGCTATGACAAGGCTACTTGCTAACAATTTGAATTTGTTCGGATAATTTGAATCTGTTTCTGGATTACTAATGAACAACCGTAAATCTCAAATACCGTTATTTTACCTGGCACTTGAAGAGCTTCACCCACATTTTCACTGATTCTTCACACAATAGGGCAAAGGCATTGCCGAGCCAGTCACAGACTTGCTTTGCTGTTGGAAGCGAGTGAGTTATGCGCGTTCTCCAGTGGTGAGAATTTGTCTGCTCCCTGTGTCTTTCATTTAAGCATTTTTTCTACGCAGAATGACTGCAAGCGTACCTTATTTTTCGTAAACTCGACTTGTATTCAGCATGTGTCCATGCTTATGCCAACGATTGGAGATCTCGGTCTGTTGCTGTTATCTTAAAACTGACTCATTGAAGGTTTAACTGGAAAGCAACCGAAGCCTTGAATGGTACTCACAAATGTTGTCGAGTGATATCAATCCTCTACCCATCAGATGTCGTTTTCAATGAAACTTCTTTTCTCTACGGATGTATCATTGGTTGAGAATCCTTAAATTATTGACCGCCGGATAAGTTTTGTTGCAAACAATATCAAAGCAAAGGAGAACGTGGTTTTCCATTCAGTCACAAATCTTGCAGAGTAGCGTCGTAACTAATAGCAAGAAATGAACCGAATCTTCTTGTCCTCATAATGATGTGCTTTTCACCGGCCCCCACTACTGCACTTACCACTCTCTTTTTGCCATCCTACTCCCGTCTTATCAAAAGAAGCATACTAAAGGGCCAAAGCTACATCGTAAATACCAAGACGTTAGGATTTTACTTGTAGGTGGCCCTTACTATCTGAGGCTCCTAATCAGCTCTTGTCAGTTGTTATCTGTTCCTCTCATAGGCCATCTTCGCGCCAACCATACTTCAAATTACATGACGAACTGCCAAGGCTCCACTTTTAATGCAGTTATCCTAATGACTCTTAAAGTTATAGGCTTAGAATCACTCGCACATTTGTTAAAGGACGTGGTTTCTTCAACTATAAGCTTCCTAGAAGGCGAGTCGTTGAAATTCATTTACTTAGTCCCTTTATTTGTAAGTTCATTGTCTCGCAAATGGATATACATTCACTTTGACGACCTTATCGTTTGCAACAGTTTGTAGCACAAGCTATTTCAAGATGTCTTGAAGTTAGGTTGTTNATTTTTCTGGAAGGGTATAAGTAAAAACTTAAGATTGGGTTGGGCGCCGGAAAACAGAGGCTGCAACAAGCCAGCACCGATTGAGGTTTGTTTCATTAAATGAAAATTTCACTCGTGATTAGAGTATTGCATTATTGCGATTACTATATTTGGGGTGAACGTAGCGTAAAAATGTTCTTAATTAACGCGAAATTTCGTCCATTTCATATATTGAAAATTTGTAGAACTAAATGTGCAAGCGAATTAGCATGGGTAATTGTTGTTTTATATACTAGAAGATGCTCTAATTCCTTCTTATTCGATGTAAATGTGATAGAAATCTCAGCTGAGCGATGCCGTAATTTCAGAGATTTGATTTTCATCCTAAAGTAAAGGTTGAAGATGGCTGTGTTTGAGCCTGGAACCATTATACCCTTTACCCTTTACCTTTACCCGCTTTATGGAATCGATCACACCTTGTGACCTCTAAACACAACCACTCACTTATGATTAATCTACCCAACAAAATAAGAAAAGTCAACAAAATAAAAAGAGTTCATATCTATTCATTTCTTCGTCAAATGCTTTTCTGCCATTCCGTGTTCCACAATACAAAAAATTCGTGTGCATGATTTCTTCATTATCGGGGCGATTTTGCGTTTTCTCTAGCGCCCTCGAGTGGCGCCACTCCTTCAAATGCCCTGCCGACCCTTCAGCCTTCATTCTTTTCGCGCCAGCCGTGATGCCCGGTCAGAAAGCGGCAGGACTTCGTTTGAAGGTTTCGTTCTCGTTTCTACTTTTTTTTTTGGTTACACTTTTGGATGTCTATATTTAACCCTTGGCTAACAGGTCTGATAAATATTGGCTTTTAAATAGCACCATAATGGGCGAACCGCTTTTGATATTTTGCCTTCCTAAGCAAGTCATCTACGTCCTATTCGAAAGTACATCCGAACCCAATGGTTTAGATTTCTGCGAACTGCAATATTTTGCTGAGTATGTTCCTTGTAGGTGTTTGTTCAAATCAAAGTCAAATTTTTCAAAAACTCATTTCAATACATTAATTCTGATGGGTTTCAAACGTTTTCTTTCCTTAAATGGAAATACTTTAGGCCTTCAAACCAGGAATTCGTGCTAGAAGGCGATCAAATTCAGCGAATTTGTGGACAGATTTAAAAACGGGGCTTGTCCATGTCCATGGCATGAATGCTGATTTCAAATCCGTTTTTGACAGTTCAGGTCTGAGGTTACAGTGATTAATCATCCTGTAAGTGCTGCAATAATGGAAACGCAAAAACATTCCGGATTTCGAATGTAGTGGGCCTATTATGTAGGTCATATAGCGTCGAACTGGACACGTTTCTTTGCTTTGATGCTTGACAATCCAGCTCTGCTGTAGAAGTTTTTTTTCTGGTCCCGGACGTATACGTTGCGTTTTACATTTGCAAAGAAACCAGAGAAAGTGTTAACCAATCTTAAGGACTTTGCGGCTGATTGATCTCGCTTCTCTTCCAAATGCGTTTTTTGAGAGATTTAGTTTCTTCCGATGTAGAGAAAGTGCGAGTTCATAAGAGAATTCGCGACGGAGATAAGCACTGAGAAATGGGCTGATCGACCGATCAAAGATCGTATTCGAAGTTCGAAAAGGCACGTCTATTTGTATTTGGCTGTAGGGCCGTCCAATTCCGTGCATTGCCATTGTGTTGGCTTCATTTGAATGAGCTCTGGAATAAATCTCTGCTCATTCCATGCAGTCTAGTCAGCAAACCGGACTGCAAGTTCGGGAAGGCCGCGTATTCCTGTATTGCTGACATGCAGTCACTGCTAGTACGCGTGGGTTAAGCGAGCTGGAGCCAAATATAAAGTGCTTCCTTCAAGAAAGTGGTCCTTTAACTTTTTCGATCCCAATCAAAGAGGAGCAGTGAAAGCAATGCGATTTTTCCTGAATTTTTCCCATATGTTACGCTTCCAATGGTAATTGTGTGTGATGAGTGTATATGTCTATGGGTGTATGTGGTGTAAGGTAAGAGCCACTGGAAGTTGCTTCTTTCGAGTTGATAGTGGGACCGTGGAACTTCAGCGGATGGTGCAGCATATGTGGGGATCATAGATGGCTGGCGATAGGAAATAATTACGACGCCATGGGCTGATTATGGACCAAAGAAGGCAGGACCTTTACGGAGAATCTTTAACACTCGGTAGCGCAATTTTGAGTGGTAAGGGCTCGAAGATGGTCGGTGAAAGTGATTGATAACAGTAGATAAGGCGGATAACGGTTGATAGGGACCTCATGAAGCGAGAACAACTAAGATCTTTTACGTTTTCGCGTTTATATAGGAACCTAAAAGAAAATGCCGCAGTTAGAAGGAAGTGACTACAGTTTTCGGGATCAGTGGATACTTAAGTTGATACTGCTAGCTAGGAGGAACAAGTTCTCAATTTTGTCGACCAGTAACAACACTTTCGGAATTACATCACATCCTCTTTTCCGCTTCTTTTCTCTCTTTGACCAATTCTGAGTTTGGTAAAACTCCTTCTTCTATTCATCTTCGCTCGTGCACCCGTTCGCGTGTCCATCTTGTCGGGACCGTCTGATTCTCAGCAAAAGAAATTTTAGTTGAGAACAGCGCTGTAACTGTATTTACTGCTGCTACGCAAAAGCAGTTCCGTTGGAGCTATAAAGGATATAGTGCAGTGGGAAGTCGCGTCGCGGCGAGAGAGACACTGTGCGCGAAGGAATGTAGCAGAATGCAGCAGCATGTAAGAAATGCAGTAAAAAAAGAACTAACAATAAAATCATGGGAAAGGTACATAGCGATTGAGCTGTATGAAGAACTGTTATAGAACTGTATGTAGAACTGTTATAACGAGGCAAATGATCCGCGACAGCCGCGTGCGTCGGATCGATTACACAGAACCGTTCCTACTGCCCGTCTCCGCGAGAAAGTGCCTGAAGCTTGCTGACTAGCTCTTAATACGAAAACAGTATCATACACATACCCTTTCTTCACTCTGTCCCTTTTTTGAGACTTTTCGACTTAGTTGCTTCAGGGTTGTAATTACCAATGCTTTTTTTTAGGTAGACGGAAAATGGTTGCATCTTAATGAGGAAACAATACTAAATCATCCAGGAGGAGCTGTCATTCGACAATACGCGTTAGTCGTATAATTTTACCACACTTCCATTATACAGAATTGATGTATAAACAGCTTCACAGCTTTTCGCCCGAAATAATGTCACATTATGGATGCTCTATGAATGGTTGCTCCTCTCTCGCTTTTATAGCTTGGTTCATCGAGGTGTCCTTCTTTTAGGAATGCTGATGCCACTCAAATGTTCCAAGCATTCCATGAGGGTTCGAAGAAGGCTTTCAAACAATTGGAAGTAAGTCTTTGTTCTTATCCTACAAGCTACAAAGGAGTGGTGACTGCGATGCATAGCTGAATCTTGTAGATTTACTTAATTTCTCATTTCACTCATCTCCCACTGCTTTCAAAGTCTCTCTTAAGGCGCTGAAAAAGAGTGCATGGGACCCTTCCGAGGATCTTGAGGAGGCACTGAAACTACGCTTGGACAAGGCTGATGTCAACGTTGCCACCTACGACATTTCCATTGAAGAAGTAAGGGGGTTTTCAAGTTGTCGAATTATTTTCAGCATCCTGTTATCCTTATCAACTGCGGCTCGATGGCTCGTCAGAGCTCTCACTAGTAGCGCTTTTTCATTTTTTGCTTTTTTTTGCTTTGCCTTTTGCTTGTTAATGCTTTTCTCTCACGGATTTATGCTTTAGGAAGCCAAAATAGTGCAGAACTTTGAGAAGTTACGGCAGCGCGTATATGATTGGGGCTTAATGGAGGCACAACCATGGTACTATGTTGGAAAGTCCATCACAACCTTAGGCTTCATGTTCTTCGCATTCTATCTTCAGTATTGTCAATGGTAAGATGCGTTCATTTGATCAGTGGTGACGATATGCTTTACAAACTAGGGAACACTTTTTTATGATAGAAATTTAATTCGACTGTTTAGCTGATAATTCATCTTACAATTTCGGGGAAGTTTTGTTTACTGTATTATGGCTTGAAACCAGAGTTAATCGCTCACCCATTGATCCTGATAGCTAACCAGATTTTTTTCATAAGTCACGCTCACCTGGTAACGAAGCATGTGTAGGGGAACAGCAGTATATTACCCAGATTATTCCGACACGTGGTGGTCAAGATAGCGCACGACACTAATTCGACCATATTGGGTACATAAATTGGGGCAAAGCCTCTCGGAAGCCCCGATCCTAGTGTATATCTCTTATCTACTGGGCTTGCAATAGTTCTGCCCACCCTCGCTGGTCAGTTGAGAACATGAGAGATGAAAAAATTCGGGAACAAATCACCCGTTTCATGTCATAATTGTGGTTGCATTATTAACTAAATCGTCTACACTGTTGCTACTTTCATCAACATTGATCTATACATACTGTCTTACTACAGGTACTTCACCTCAGCGGTTTCGCTTGCTGTCTCATGGCAACAGTTTGGTTGGCTAACTCATGAATGTGCTCATCATCAAATAACGAAAAATAGAAAATTGAACAACCTGCTAGCGGTAGTTTTCGGAAACCTTGCGCAAGGATTCTCTGCTGACTGGTGGAAGGACAAGGTTTGAGTTTTCAAGATTGGTTTTTAAGTGGAGTTGCTGTATATGAGTATAGGAGGAACAATAAAGAGGCGAACTGCAGAGAAGCATTGTGATAGTTCCAATGCATATTCACAGTTACAACGCTATGCTCTCAGTATTCACATTTCCACATGCGCTGCTACAGTGTCCGTACGGTGGTGTTGTCTCAGTGACTTTTATCGCCTGTTGCATAATATTCGAGGTCGTGTTTGAGCAAGAAATATTACAGGAAAATAAAGCATGCATGTTTGATAAAGACATCCTTTAACGATTTTGTCAGGCGTTCCACTGTGATCTAATTGTAAACTTGATAGAGCCGATGAACAGTGTATCTCAAAATACGGGCAAATTCAGAAAGTTTTGAAGTAGAAATAATTTGTTGATTTCACCTCATTTGCTATTAATTATCTGCATATGTAGGTTTTCTTGCAATCTGCTAGTCATCGTGGTAGGGCCACTAAGATCCTCAAGGTGACGAGGGCTCCTCCAGTGCCACCTGCGCTAATTCGCATGCAAAATACAAAGTGCAGCCAAACAGATAGTGTGGGGTCAACAAATGCAGAAAGTTGCAGCCTCAGTTCAGTGGAGACACGCATCCCTCCATCATTTTCTCTACAAATCCAAGCTCGTCCTGGATGGTGCCAACTCGAGCCGCGCAACTTTATTAGCACCAAGGAATGACCGCCTGCTCTCCAGGTCTTAACACACTCAGCTTCCCCGTGCTGCCTCCTGGTGGAAGAGAAACCTGTCGAGTTTGCCATCCCAGTTTCGAGTCCTTGACAGCAAGACTCAAGAATGACTGGGAAGAAATGTAAGAGGGATACCTGCGCGCACCATGCGAAGAGTTCGAGAACGTACTTCGAGCCTGTATCCTTGCCCATGGAGCGTATTTTGTGAAGCGATTGTAGTTTGTTGTTGCACATAATTTGAAGAAGTGTGTATACGAATTTCATCCAATAGCTTGAAATACTATATTAGGGAAGCACATAGTTTTGAGTCGCCCTTCATAACCGCCAACTTTTGACAAAAACACTAGTTATGAATACACTTATTGTCACCCTTTTTAGCATGTGGAAATATATGGTTCACCTACGAATTTCAGCATAACACTCATCACGCCGCAACGAATATGATCGATCATGATGGAGATATCGACTTGATGCCGCTAGTAGCTCTTATACCTAGAGACTTGTCCAGATTCAAACTTCCCGTTCAGAAGTTTGTTCTAAAGGTAGAGAGTCAACGAGCTGTTATTTATTATGATTTTTTATTTTTATTATTTATTTATTTATTTATGTGTTTGTCGAATAGCTTTCTTGCCAAGTAATACCACTGCTTGCTAAAGTTTACTCGCAAACATGTGAGGATCTCTAGTGGTTTTCTTTATATTTTTCGTCCTGTTTTTATCTTTCCTTATTTTTGGCACTATCTGCAGTTTTGAGAGATCCCAGAACTTCTTGCGTAGTTTAATAGAAGTCGCGAAAACCTATCCTATAAAAACGCTTGACAACGCAACGCTGACTGGAGAAGCATTTGACGTCAGATTGGTTTTCCAAATCATTGCCAGAAAACAACTCTGGTTTCTCCAATGGGATAGACGCTGTAGCGAAAAAATGCTGTTTGGAAATGGCATAGTAATCACCTGAGGTCCTTTGGTTCTTTTGAATTTCAAGGTCTATACCTAATGTGCATGCCCTTTATGTATTCTTGATTTAATCTGTATGGAAGACAGTTATTAATACAACAATAAGAGTACAGTTTGTAAACAATTCTGTTCCTTACATAGAAAAGGAGTTTGGGGTACTCCTGGGCAATAAGTTTATAGGGACAGACTCGATATAATTATAACGTTTTTTCCGTGATGTGATAGACTTCTGTATGTCATTTTTCAGTTCATTCCTTACCAGCATCTATACTACACACTAGCAATGCCGCTTCTTCGATTTTCGTGGACAACCCAGTCGTTGCTGTGGGTGTTTGCAGAGAACTCCAGTGAATTTCGTGTGTACAGAAGGAATGCCCTCACGGAGCAAGTAAGACTATGAGTATTCTGAAAAGGCCCGCAATCCACCCGTCTGGAGATGTTTACATTTAGTTAATAGCACGGTCTAACTGTTACCTTGAGTTCAGCAACTCAGTTTTAAAGATGAAAAGTTCGCAAAATACCCCAAAGTTCGTGGCAGTGAACTAACTGTTCTGTACGTAACTGGATGCAAAGAGCTTTACAGATACATTCTAGGCAGTAAGTTTTAGTAGTTATTGACCATATGTTTCAGACGTTGCTGGTGGCGCACTGGTGTTGGGTGTTCCTGCAGCTATATCTCCTTCCTTCAATGAGTATTCGCGTGTTATATTTCGCCATTTCGCAGCTCCTCTCCGCTTTCCTCATTGCCTTCGTCGTCACCTTCAGTCACAACTCCGTAGACAAATACCCAGGTACGATTAAGGAAAACCACTTGATGTTTTCATGTATTCTTTGAGATGGCTCAAACAGTTGGTTTGCATCCAGAATGGTCCTGTGTTTAAATGAATTTATCTCCTGTCTGAGGGCTGTAAACGCTCGCCAATGTACAGAAAGTTTACGTTCCCTTTGAAAGTTTACGTTCCCTTAAACAAATAGAGTACCAAGTAGTCTATTTGAGCTGAATAATAGTCTTAATGTTAAATTCCAACCTCGCATAATAGGCTGCCTTTCAGACTTCAACGATTCTACTTGCGTGCGTGCCTGCACGCAGATAGAATCGCAGAACAAGCGAGCGGCTATGCAACACGGCGCTAGACAGGTGTTGACAACATTGGACGCCGATGGATCACGTGTCAGTGCAGTCAACAGGTGGCTAGCGCAGCCGTGGCATCGCGGTCGCTTGCTCGCACGCACGAACCGCGTAGGAGCCGCGTACTTAGCCTGACAATGTGGTAGTAGTGGTCGGTGGCGCTACATTTCTGCCTTCAGACTTGCGCGCCTGCACGCAGGTAGAATCGTCGAAGTCTGAAAGCAGAAATGTAGCGCCACCGACCACTACTACCACATTGTCAGGCTGAGTACGCGGTTTCTTTTTGTTCATTTCAAATGGAACGGTATTCCTATTCATAGTTCGTAAACCATTACTCAATCTTTGCCTTCAGTCCGAACACTACTTTACTCTTCTCTTCTTGATCCCATATAATATAGTACGCATAATGTAATACATTTCTCGTTGCAGCGAATTCTCGTTTGCTCAACAACTTTGCCTGTCTTCAACTGTTCACTACGCGAAACATGACACCAGGCCCAATCACCGACTGGATTTGGGGAGGACTGAATTACCAGGTTAGTTAGTACTATATAATTTTGCCCACTCAAACAGCAAGGATTTGCAAAGCTGTCAATTGTTGTTCTCCGTAAAGGGAGACGTTAGTGCCCTGTCCTTCTAAATTACAGTATTTATGCACTAGCAAGATCTTCAAACATTAAAACGCAACTTGCCATTCAAAAATGAACCAACTCAAAAGAATCAAAATGACCAACAGCCTAACATCAATCGAATGCAAACTGCCCTTGACATTTGGGTATGTGAAAGCATGCCTAGACGAGTGATCTGGATGACTGTAGCAACCAATAGTTCTTGCTGCAACGCTCTCAAAGATTAATCGCAAAGTTATTAGGGTCAGCTGTCAGAGCTAACAACCATCCCTATTACTAACTTGCTCAGGACCAGCACTGCTGTAGATTACTCTCTATAAATAAGTTATGTGTTGTTATACTTTGATATGAAGTTAAATTGTTTCCTTCTACTATAATGTTTCCTTTTGGCTTATAGTGCAATATTATTGAGATGTCATTTAATGGCAAAAAGTGCTGATGTCAGCAGAGAGAACAACGGAAAATTCTCATGGTCCGAAGTACATTGATTAACATTTTATGGTTTATACAAAACTCCCCGCACATTGTAGGAAGTGGGCGTCGTTATGTACTGCTCTCACGCGGAGTACTTATGTCAATTACATCGTCAAGTCCTTAAGAATGAACGAAACGCTAGCGCTTGCAGTGTAGATATTTGCTTGGCTTAATAAGTTTTCGATCTGTGATTCGAATATTTCAATATTTATATTAATACAATAATTTAAATTCAATATTTACATTTGCTCACATGGAGACATACATTTACGAACATCGAATTATATAAACTA